CCAAAACACTGACACACACACGTGAGAGGAATGGGCAAAGTTGAGGCCCACAGAACACGGGCTTCTATCATGAGCAGGAGGTAGCTGCCTCTGTTTGCCACCCTGAGAAACAGAGGCAGCATTCCCAAACCAGCACGGAAACTTCCAGAAGACGGAGTCAAAGGGCTCAGTCGGCCTCCTCCCTGGGTGGAGAATGGCTGAGCCCTGGGAAACTGTCCTGGCTTCAGCGGGGTCTGGCAGTGGTAGCCAGGGGCCAGGGGCCCTGCCATAGTTGAAGCCCAGGCTGGGGACCAGGGCTGCCCACTGTGCTTCAGGAGGACGCACACACATGCATACACGCACGCTGCATTCACACACAGACATGCCCTGCACATTTGCACACGTGCATACCACGCTGCACCTATACCACATCTGCACCAGCACATGACCTCCTCCATCCACTTCCTCCTCCCCAGTAGAACTTTGGGAGCTCACACTGCCTCTGGGGAGAGAACACCTCTTTCTTCTGGAGTGGAAGGAATGAGCCACCCTACGGGCAGTGACCTCACACAGCCAGCCTGTCCTCTGGCTGTTCCTGCAAGCAGCTGTCTGTCTGTTTCTCCAGGGGGCAGCAGACAGACGCGAGCCCTTTCACCCTCCTTGACACTTCGTCCTGGTCTTGCCAGCTCCTGATGGTGGTGGGAGTCAAAGAGCCCCCAGCAGGAGGGAACGGGAAGGAAAACCTTTGTTCTCCTGCCCTGTAAGGCCACCCCCGACCAGCTGCCCAGCTGCCCAGCTGCCAGGACAGCAGCAGCCCAGGGCCCCCAGAGGTCAGGAAAGCAAGGGAGGCTGAACGAAGGTTCCATAGGCGGCAGGAAGACCCACTAACAAGTGTGGGAGCCAAGCCTCCCTGGGTTCAAGTCCCAAAGGACTCTGACTGCTGTTGCTTTCAGGCAGCCTGCTAAGCCTCTCTGTGCTCTGGTTTCTGTGTCTGAGAACAAGATCATGGCTCCATAACCCAGGCATCTGGAAGGAGAGAGGGCTCTATGGCAGACCCCTGTCTCTATCCTGCAAGAGGGTTGCCAACCTGTCGCTCATGCCCACAGAGCAGCAGGGAACAGGCAGGCCCGGTGTCCCTGTGACTTGAGTCTAGACATTGGCATTCCAGAAAGGAAGCCCGAGACCTTTTGGGAGCTGAAGTCCTGCCCGTCCTAACTGCTGCTGAAATGGACAAGGGGCTCAGGTACCAATCCAGGAGCAGCTATGGTTGCTATGGCAACCAAGAGGCAGGCTATGGGGATGCAGAGTTCCTGACTCTTCAAGGCACTGGGTGCCCTGCTGGAAGATTTGCTTTCAGACCACGAGGTTTTTTGTTTGTTTGCTTGTTTTTAAATCAAATTGCCCTTCTTCTTCCTTTGGCAGAAAGGAGTGCTGATCTAACGCCCTGTGCTGAGGGGCCTGTCAATGTCATAGCCCAAGTGGCTTTTTTGGGGCAGAGGAGGGACATAAGGTCCCTGTGTGATGCTCCCCGAGCTGCCCTTGCACACAGGGGTGAGGCAGGTACAAGAGGCCATGGCAGGGCAGGAGGCCTGGCAAAGGCCTTGAGGACAAGGGACACAGCACCCAGGGCCAGGTGATGTGCCCTGAGGACCCGGGCCTTCAGACTGAGGCCTCAGACCTGGGTGTGGGCAGAGGACAAGGTGAGCACCTTTTTCAAGTCTGTCACAGGGCAGAGAGGTGCCATTTTGTCACATGCCCCTGTGGCCAGGCTCTGTGCTGGAGGTAACCACCATTTTGCCCTGCCACCCTGGAACAGACAGCAGATGGGAACGCCGAGGCTCAGAGTGACGGGGCTGGCACTGCAACCCCCGGGCTGGGCTGGGCAAAGCCTGGGCGCCTTCAGAGACCTGTGAAAGGTCCAGAAGGGCATGCCCTCCCACCAGGTCACTATCAGAGAACAGCCATTGCCTGATGACCAGGTCTGATTCTGAGTGAGCTCACTTTTCTCACCCGTGGACCAGTCTCATCCCCCAGCCTGCAGGTGGGCAGAACTACAGGCCTGCCATTGTCCTTGGTCCCAGACTGCAACGTGTCCCCAGCCTCCTTCCCCAGAGCTGCCCAGGGACAAGTATCCTTGGACACCTGGTCTCTGCTGGTACCTGTGCCCACTGGGTTAACGGAGTCAGAGAGTTGAAAGTGGTCGCGTGCCCCAGGAGGGGTGGCAGGTGCCAGGAAACATCACGCTGGGCTTGAGTGCAGTTCAGGAAGGCACGGTGGAAGCTCCCGCCCTGTGCTGGCGCTGGGACAGGGACAGCACCACACCCCTCCCGGGTGGCAGGAAGCCCCCTTTCCTGAGTGGTGTGAAGGTGACTGTAGATGACCCACGTGACTGGGCTAGTGGTGGCAGCTCCTCTCAGAGAAGAGGACCAGCCCCGTGGGGGGACGGACAGGACACCAGGCTCAGACCTCTTCCCAGCTGAGCATGGCAGAGACCTGCTCGCTCACAGAAACCTGTCCCATGAGGTGATGGCACTCTGTCCCAAGCACGGGCTTTGGGGGCATACAAACCTGGTTCAAATCTCACTTCCCCACAGGCCATAGCCTCAATTCTCTCATCTCAGAAACAGGGGTAAAGCAATACCACACCCAGGGCTGCTGTAAGAATTAAGTGAAAAAATGGGGCTTGTGAAGTGCTCGGTCACGGGCCCATGCCCGCAAGCAGCAAGTGGACGGTGTATTTTATTTCTCTTGCTACGGTTCCCTCCTCCCCTTCTCCCTGGCACCTCTGAGTGTCTCCTGGCCTCCACATGCCTGCGCCCCTCACTCATCTTTTCTTCAGATAAAGTGGCAACCAGTAGCGTTGCTGTGTCTCTCTGTCTCTCTCTCCCTTCTCACTCCCACCATCTGTCTTCCTCTCTTTCTGTGTCCAGCTGCAGCTTTCTCTCTGTCCATCTCTCTCTCACATACAGTGCATGCGTGCACACGCACACACATGCACATGCACACACACAGCTGGAAATGTTAGCCACAGTTCCCACCCCCACTATAAGACCCCTCTCCCTCTGGAACAGAGGGAAATACTTCCACGCAGGTCCCGCTGCAATGCATCCTTCAAACAGCACTTTAAGCCTTTCATGGGCGTTAAAGTGGCCGGAAAATAAAGTCATAAGAAAAATAACAGTCTGCAGCCACTTGAAGCAAGAGAGGATACATTTGAGAAGCACCAGCAAATGGGCTGTTAGATCACAACTGTGTTTATAGAAAAGTAATGAAAATATCAATTCTCTTTCGTAAAAAAAAAAAAAAAAAAAAACAGTTACACAAACGAGCAGAATCCAGGGCATCTTTATCAAAGTTTTTAAAAAATAGATAGGCCCTTCTTCCCCTCCCCGTTACTGTCATCCCTCCTCCCCAGCCCCCAGCTCCAGGGCGTGGCTCCCTCGGCCTGACTTCACAGTCCCCGTGGCCAAGTTTCCATGGAACCCAGACAAGGCTGCTCCCTGAGTCAGTGCCAAGCTGCCCAGTGAACACTAGGGTCCTGGGGGTCAGGGCGTTGAGAGAATAAGGGGGAGAAGAGTGGCCCCAGACCTCTCCCGGCCTGTTCTTTAAAGGCCCCTCTGGGTCTAGTTCGGTTGCAAAGCCCAACACAAGGGCTGGGAACCCCTTCTTGGTCTATTAGTAACTGAACAAACAGACCCATTTGTACAGAGGGGCCCTGAGGATTTTTTTTTAAAGAGGGAGAACGTAGTGTTGGTTTATGGAGAACAGGATCCAGTTCTAAAGTGTTCTGGAACCATCTCAGATCTCAGGAAGAGATCTGTTTCTGCCCTCAGGCCCCAGAGGGTGTCACCTGGCCCCTTCCTAGGTGGTGCATGGAGGACAATTATATAAGTTATCCATCTGGCGAGGTTTGGGGCAGCCGGCCTTGCCCCTGTAGGGGCACACATGGGGGGCATCCTTGGCCCTGTAGACCTGCCTCTCTGCAAAGCCCCTTCTGGGAGGGGAAGGAAGAGCCCTTCAGACAAGCCAAGTTCATGCTGCTTTGGTCCCTCAATCCCCAGCCCGTGTGGCAGGGGTTTCCCTCTGTCCTTCAGCTACAGTCACAGACGGTGACAACACAGCCAAGCGTGACAGCAGAAACCGGGGCCTTGCCAGCGCTGGCGCGTGGGGTGCTGCACTGATGCGTGTACCCATTCTGCATGGACATCTCCCAAGAGGCTGCTCTCTTCCCCTTCTCCCCAACAGAGCACACGGAGCTCACCTTCCGGAAGACTTGGCGTCCAGGCCAAGGGCGTCCAGTGGTGGCCCGTGCTCCTGGGCGGCTGGGCTGGGGGCCGGACCCTGCACACAAGCCCCGACTGCTGTGCCTTTCAGTTCTTGATCAGCTCTATCGTTCTCCTCCTGCCTTGAGACCACTCCCCCGCATGTCACTTACCCCTGCTGCCACCTCACCTGCTCTGGTCTTCACCACATCTACCTGGAATCCGTAGCCTCAAATCACGTATTCTGACTGTGCCTGCCCTGAGTCACCGGCCCTGAGTGAGCGCTGTGGCACTCTTCCACAGTGACGGCTCTGAGGCCATTTACCACCACCTGGGTCTTGGGGCGGGTTCCAGAGAAGAGGTCACTGTACAGTGACGTCATCATTCCTAGTTTTTAGGGTAGATTTCAGACCAAGGCAAAAATACTGGAGAATCCCATCAGGGAAGCAAACTTCTAGGAAGTTTCCTGACTTCAAACAGATACATTAGACATGAAACTTATACACGTTGAAGATTTACATACAGAGCTTAGGAAAAGCCTAGGCATTATTCCCTAGCTGCACATACGTGGACACTTAGTACAAAAGGACCAAGACAACACTGTATAAAAAGTCATCTTGTTCTTGGAACGTGGACACAGTATTATATGGAAGCTGCTCTTGCTGTCTGGTCTGCCCTGTTTCCGGTTTCCCGGGCGTCCTCCAGAGGGCCCTGGGCTTGCGGGAGGCTGGAGGAGAAAGTCACCTGTGTGGCCCGGGGCTAGGTAGGTGGAGGCCCGTCGTAGCGAAGCATGAGCTTGAAGGAGCGGGCAAAGTTGTTGGCCAGCGTGCAGCTGCGGGCCTCCTCCCCGACCGGAAGCAGGAAGAGCAGTAGCAGCAACAGCAGCAGCAGGAGCTGCACAGGGAGCGCCACGCAGCACACCTTCCGGAAGAACGCGCCGAGTCCTCGCCACTGCTGCGTCTGCAACCGAATTGGGGTGCGTGAGTGGGCGCAGGGCCTCAAGGGGGTGGGAAGCGTGAGGGGGCTGCCAGGAGCTGTCAGGGGCTCTGGATGACCCTTTGACCTCATGCATTGCAGTGTGCTCATCTGTGACATGGGGCTGATGTAGGGATTGCCAGACTCAAAGTTCCAAACCATCCAAGGCGTGAAAGGAAGGAAATCATGGGATGCTGGGTTCTGCCAGTGAAGACATCAGCCTTTGCTTGGTGCAGAAGAGTGCTGGGGTGTGCATCCTGAGAAAGTCACTCACCTCCTTTAAGCCTCAGTGTCCTTGTCTATCAGTGGGGGACTCATGGTAGCTACCTCACTGGGTGTCTATGAAGATGAAAGGAGACAGAGCCTGACACATTGTAGGTACTTAAGAGGTGCCACCATCATATAGTACTGCATTGCCAGTGAAGGCAATCACGGGTGTACGGGTGGATAGATGGGTAGACAGGCTGAACTATTAGGTATGTCTATGCAGCAGGGAGTATACCCAAGACCATGCATAGAGCTGGCAGACAATGGTTCTACAAGTGTATTTGTATGTTCTCTAAGAATTCCCAGGGGTATAGTAGAGCTGACAAGGTTATAGTCACTTCTTGGTCACAGCCAGCTACCCAGAGGGACCTAGTAGTTGAACCTGTGGGCTCAGGACCATAGGCAGACAATGGTTCTACAGGTGTATTTGCATGTTCTGTAAGGATTCCCAGGGGTATAGTAGAGCTGACAAAGGACAAAGTTATAGTCACTTCTTGGTCACAGCCAGCTACCCAGATGGACCTAGTAGTTGAACCTGTGGGCTCAGGACCATAGTCACAAGGGACATCAAACTCAATTGACATAACACACTACACAAAACATTTTTCCTCCTCCTACTTTGGTGAGTAGCGACTGGGATCTTAAAAGCTTGCAAGCGGCCACCTAGATGCAATGATGGGGCTCTCCTCATCCAGAGGAAAGAAGAATGAAAACCAAAGATTCATGAAAACAATTAGTCCAAGTGACTGGTATACCATGCAATCCTCAGCCTATATGACTATGAGACCAGAAGAACTAGATGGTGCCCGGCTACCACTGTCAACCACTGGGAGGGGGATCTATGTAGGAGATCCTGGATAGAGAGGGAGAACAATGTGAAACAAATCTCAAAATCATTTGGGGTGGGGGAGGAGGGACCAGGTTTGCTGGTCTGATAGAACCTGGTGGAACCACTGAGACTATGGCCCCTAGCTGCCCTTCAGGTCTGGAATTGAACCCATAACTATGGCTTCCAGCCAAACAAAAGAGAGGCATATGAGTTGAACATGTACCTGAGGTAGATACATGCCTTGGAGAGAACAATCATGGGAGAAAGAAGGGCTGTTTATGCACAGGGAGACAGCTCAGGGGGCAGGGGTACATGGAGGGATGGACACAGGGAAGAGGTAACTATTGGGAGGAAGTGGGAGGGGAGCTGTTGAATTGGGGTAAATTGCAGTCAATGTCATGAGACAACGTGTGTGTGAACTGCTGTATGGAAAGTGACTTTGCTCTATAAACTTTCACCCAAACCACAATTAAAAAAAAAAAAAAAAGGAGAGAGAGGTGCTGCCATTACTGTTGGACGTCATTAATAACATCACCACTTCTTCATTATCATCATCATCATCACCATCAGTATCCCCTGAAGATTAGTCTCATGAGTCCAAATGCCTGGGACATATCTGATATGATGTCCATAAGAATGGTCAAGGGACATTTCCTAAATTTAAGAGAGACTGGTTGGATTGTGGCTTCATGGGACATATGTGACTGCCAAGGTGTGTGGGGCCAAGAGCTGTCCAAAGGACATTTCCTAAATTTAAGAGAGACTGGTTGGATTGTGGCTTCATGGGACATATGTGATTGCCAAGGTGTGTGGGGCCAAGAACTGTCCACTCAGGAAAGCAGAGGCCCTCACAGGTGAGATGCAGCTGGATGTAGGGCAGGAGCCCAGCTTTAGAAACCCGACCAACTGTGTTCCAATGCAGCCTCTGCTGCATAGTAGCTATGCATTGGGCAAGTCAACAGCATCTCTGAGCCCCTGCTTCCTGCTCCATCAAAAGGCACACTCCCATATGCCAGGCTGTGGGGAGGACTCAGAGTACACTTATATATCAACATCAAAAGTATAGAAGTTCTTAATTACTGCAGAATACATCTGCTGGCTTTTTTTGAAGACCCAAAGATTCACCTTCCAGGTCACCAAAATCCACAGCCCAGTGACAGTGGTGACGATGGTGGGGAGGAAAGGAGTGATGATGATGATGATGGGGATGAGAACAGGAAGGATGATGGTGGCGATGGTGGTAATGGTGGTGTTGATGGGTGGGGATGATGGTGGTGGTGGAGACAGTGATTGGGGTGATGGTGGTGGTGGAGACAGTGCTTGGGGTGATGGTCATGATGGAGACAGTGATTGGATGATAGTGGTGGTGGAGACAGTGATTGGGGTGATGGTGGTGGTGGTAGTGGCATTGTTAGGTGCAGATGTGCCTGGAAGGTTCTGACCTAGCACTTCTCTCTCTCCATGTGTGAGCCATCTCACCCACTCTCTTGCCTCAACTATCTCCTCCAGGTTGACAACACTTAACCCTATGCCTCCAGCCTCAAACTTTCTCACTCACTGATTAGACATTGATTTTGTAAAACAGACTTCCCTGCACAATGGACAAGCATGGTTGGCAGCAGAAGTCAACAATGACTCCTGGAGGTTGTCCATTGTTCAAGTAGCCAAACGAGCATGAGTCCCCAGGAGGGGCTCGCCCTGTTCCACTGCTGCCTGGGCTCGGTCAGACCCAGCCGCTGTGAGCCTCCTGACACTCCGTTCCACTTAACCTGTGGGACCTCTAACTTGACTCCTCAGCATTTAATGGTAACTTTGCCTGATTCCAAATCTCCTACCCATCCTGGGAGAGAGGCGGGGAGACAACATGCCACAGGCCCACCCCTAGCCTGGGTTCACACCACAACTAAAACCCCATTATTAATAGTCTCCCAAATGGGAGGTTGTTTACAAGTGTTCTTTTCCTGTTCGGACCTCCATCCCCAAAGCCAACACTTTGCTTATTTCAGGTTATGCCTTAGCCATAATCCTCTGGAAAAAAATGTCTCTGAAGGTAGGAAGTGTGTTTATGTTTACAAGTCTTGATGAGGAATGGTCTTCTCCAAGGGACTCTTGCTGCCTGACCAGCGACTACACACTTGAGCTCACATCTTGTCACTTTGAGGGATGTAAATTCTAAAATGCTCTTTAAAATGAGACACACTTTCACATGACTCCCTCTCACACACACATGCACATACACCCAGAAAGAGATATGCGCTACCTTCTGAGAACCCAAAAAGGAAGCTGACAATCTCATTTTTTCCCAGATCCAGGAACTTCTCTGTACCTCAGTTTCCCCACCAAGTTAGAATATCTAAAGAGAGAAGGAGCTCCCTCAGGAGAGGAGAAGCTCCCCATCCTTTGGGGGCATGGAAGCAAAGGGCCAGTGAGTGAAGGAGATGCAGGGAGTAAGCAGGAGACGTCAGGTAGGTGAAGTCAATGCTTGATAGACACTCTGACCAAGTCCTTCAGGGTCAAACATGAATCTGAGACTCCAGGATTCTGTGGAGTTCAGATGAGGTGAGTTTATGTAGACAGAACATGCAACCTAATCTTCTGCCACTGATGAAATGGAATGTTTCTTTTTAAAAAAAAGTAAAAATAAGGTCTGGAGTCCTGGGTTCTAACTCTGACTCAACCACTTCCTAGCTATATGACCTAGGACAAATGACTTAGTCTCTCTGAGCCTCAGTTCCTTCATCTATTGAAAAAAGGAGGGGAACGATACCTCTACCAGTCAGAAGGCTATGTGAGGCAGTGCATGTTATGTTTGATGTGCATAGTGGGTGCTCAGTGAAGGCCCACTGGCTTCCTGCTCTACCTCATGGATGCTGGGGCACACAGGCAGCTCCTCCAAGTCCCACCAAGCCCCTTCCCCCCGACACCCAGGGATGTCAGGGGAATTGGCCTGTCAGAGAGGAAAGCATGCCCTCCTCCAATGCCAGCTCGCAGCCCTTGGAGGACCTCACTTTCTCCTGCCACAGGGCCTTTGCACAGGCTGTTCCTCTGCCCAGAGCACACATGTCCTTTCTGTGATCCATCTGGTCAGCCCCTGATCATGCTTTTAATCTCAGCTCATGAGTTACACACTCAGGGATAACTCCACGGGCCTTAAGACCCCCAAATGTTCCACTTACATACGCTTACAGCAACTACATCATTCCCCCAGATTGCTGGCTAGGGTCTGCACTCCCCTGGATGCTGTGGGCAGGGAGCATGTTGGTTTGGTCCATTGCTGTATCCCCAGCACTGCTCAAGGGCTATTTGCTGAATGAATAAAATCATGAATAACAGGGACCAAGGCTCCTTCCCTGCCTGTGCACTTGGCCTTGTGCTCCTCCCTTGGTAGCCGTGAGGTGACCAGAGACACTGGCTGACAGATGTCAGTGAGCCATTCTCACTGGACCTGAGGGTTCCCTGGAACATTTGAGCTCTACTTGTCTGAAGACACCCCAACCGTGACCACCCAGGCCCCGGACTTGGCACATCACCTCACTCACACCCTCTAGACCTCCTTCAATAGCTCCGCCTGGCAGGCTTCCCTGTGCCCATATTGTTGTTGGTTTGTTACTGCGTGCTGTCAAGGTGATTCTAACTCATAGTGACACTATAGGGCAGAACAGAACTGCCTCAGAGGGTTTCCAAGACTGTAATCTTAATGGAAGCAGCCTATTTCATCTTTTCCCCACAGAGTAGATGGTGAGTTTGAACTGCTGACCTTTCAGTTAGCTGCTGAGTGCTTTAACTACTGCACCACCAGGGATCCTTCCAGCATCACAGCAATACATAAGCCATCACAGTACAACTAAACCAAACCCAGACTCATTACTGTCAAGTTGATTCTGACTCA